ACGGAGTGCACAATCGAACTCTGTATACATACCGTTTCAAGCGTTCTGACCTGATAAAAAATGACAAGAACGCCACTACTGTCGGTTCGCTGCCATATCCTTCAATGTCTCCAACCAACCGGTTGTGGAGTCTTTCGGACCCCAACCTGGGAGGCACCTAGGAGACACCTACTCTATCCAATGGTTCTGTGCATTTCTTCATGCCTCGTCTTCACATCATCTGTTGACCTCCACGTGGTTTCCTCCAGCCTGGGACGGATACAGCGAATAAAGCGCGGTGCGGCAGACGATGGCTGGGCATACGCAATACGTGCCCCAACCAGCGAAGCCTAGTAATCTGAATTTGGTGTGCTAGCAGACAGACTCCCACACACACGACGGCTTATCTCCAGATTACTAACCTGTTAGCTGCATCCCACGTGGACTAAACTACGTAAACACCGATAATCGAAAACCTCTAGTCGATGGATATCTTCTGCTCGCAAACTCAGGGTCTCGCAACCACATAGCAGAACTGAACGAATGCACAATAAACACGTTTCAACTTCAGTGAAACGTCGCGTCTACGCCAAAGGTGTTTCACTCCTGCTTATGCTGCTCGAGCCTTGGAAATGCGGACGGTTATCTCCTTTGCTGCGCTACCGTCGTTGGTCACGCAACTACTTAAGTAGGAAAAGTGATCCACCATAACTAATTCCTAGCCATTTGGTTTCATAGCGGGGGTAGGCAAAACCCAGTCCTGCAGCATCACTTTGCACTGTGAAGGTGCAAAGCGCATACTGAATGTGGTAAAAGCACTTGTTAGTCTATCAAGTGTGTTTTGCGCGTCCTCCATACATTAGAAGAGACAGACGTCATCAGTGCACAGCTTTTCTCCACTTGCTCATTCAATACCTACGTTTTGGACCACTAAGTACGTCCTCCAGTATTTCGTCTACGACGAAATTCAACAGGAACGACGAGAGAAGACACCTAAGACAAACGCCATTGCTGGTGACGAATGGTCTACTTAGTTCATCATAGACCCTTAGACGGCCGGAGGTATGTGAGTACAGTGACCTCAGTAGGCTAACGTATTTCTGGGGCATTCCTATTCGAAGAAGGGAACTCATCAGAGCTTCGTGGTCAATTGAGTCGAAGGCTCCTTTCAGGTCAAGTAACACAGCGATCGTTGGTCAGTGGCGGGTGTGACACAGCTCAAGGACCTGATGCAACGCAAAAAATTTGATTAATACATCCACGACCTGTCCCGCACCATCAAGCAAACACAGAAATCAGTGAGAACTGGGTTGCTGGCTTGAATGGGACGATGTAGCACGTGTTGTGCCGGAGAGCAACCAAGTGGAAAAATTCGTTAACGTCTCAAAACTATTCGGTTCGCGAACGGTGTTTTCACATCTGGAAATGGTAGGAAATGCTTCGGACGGTAAGGATCGAGGTCCAATGCCCATCAACACTAGAGAGAAAATTTGGTGGCAGAAATCTTCAATGCCGACCCGCTCGATACCAGGTCCACCTATGCTGCTGTGGCTTTGTGTGGCGCCCCACTTCGAAGTTCCGCGGTACAGATAGCCGGTTTTCTTAACTGAAGAACGGTTTCTCATGACTATAGGGTGCACTCTAGATACTCACCGTTCATCACGCAATGCTGTCTGAAGAAATAGTCGATACAGTCTGTCTGAAACGGTTGTTAAAACTGGTCCAATTATTAAGTGTACGCAATTGATAAAAGACATGTCGAAAATAATTTCAACATTGGGCGCGTTTCTAGGGTACATGCTCCGTTCAACTGATCACCCAGGAACTGAATGTATCTGTAAATCGTTTAAAACTGTTCGCGCACCATCGCTCATCCTAGTAAAAATGTCACTTTTGCCAACCTTTTTCGGAATTGTATTGTTTCTGTCGCGGGCCGAATCTGACCAGGACAATCAGATCAGTCGTGTTGAGATTGGACTCGAAGTGCCACATTATCAGAGCCCAGAATGGAGCAGATGCACGATATTCATAGGTTTTTGTGGTACGCGGCGAACAATATCGATTACTTATATAATTCACTCCCACAAATCATTCATCTTATGGCTCAAAACGAAAACTCCAAATAGAGCGTTAAAACGTGAGACGGTGATAGTAGAGTGGTTTAAGTCGTCTAAACAGCAACCCGGCACATCTGAACCAGAATCCCGTCAGCGCTGCCCATCTTCCCACTCGTCCATTGTCAGGCAGCCTTTGATACTTGTACTATTATTACTTAACATTGTGTGAAGATAACACAGAGAGTAAAAATTGTAGTAGTCAAAAGATACGGTCAGGTCACAGGGTATGGTGTGATGAACCCCCAAAGGCCTTGATAGGATAGATGTAGAACTAAGACCACTTCATTCCACTAACATCAAAAGCTACTACTCTTTATAAAAACAGTGAAAATCGGCCCTAGCGTCTAGTTGGTTGAGGTTAGACGCATTTAACCCACAATACCTGATACAGAATCATCGCAATGATTCTACCAGACTAGTACGTTTCAAATCCAATGCCCGAGCTGCAAATAAGATTTGCATTGCATTATTCATATTGGGAGTTCAAGTATAAGAAGGACCAGACAGAGGATTACCGGATACGCAAACCTGATGAGCCGCAAAGACCGCGATACCGGTCGTGTGGTTCTGGGAAATTTCGTCCAGTCACTCATATACTGCTCATAATATAAAAACTCCGGGAACCACGTCTGTCAGTAAAAAATAAGGGAGGTATGCATGCACGCATTATGCTCACCGGCACTGAGATTCCGAGTCTTGTTGTGAGTCATCATCACCACTCAATGAGGCGGCATTTGAATACAGATATCCCAAACCGACCTGATCTGCCCCGGACCCGGAACGCGTTTTTGGAATAGCCGCTTCCAGTACCGGAGTCCAGAATGGTTCGGTCCATCGCGAGAGGAAACTCCATTTGGTATCGGAGTCGGTTCGATTGACCAAATTTAGATATCGTTCAGCGATACTGAAAAACAACTGAGCAAAAACGGACGGAATCAGACGAACTGTTCGCAAGATAACACGTGAAACAAAGCGAAATAGGATAGAACTTTACAATCCACACATATCTGACGGATAAAAGAGTCAGGATGGAAAAAAACGTGCATAGGGACTAACTGTCCCGAAAATTTCTCACTCGATTCTGTTTAGGGGGAAGAAAGCAAAAGGCTAGGAGAAAAATTGAGCAAAAAGTCGAGGATAACCAATCATCAATTAAATCTACGTTAGTAATAATGAAGAAGTGCAATAATTTTGGTGTTCGAATCACATGTGCCAACGATTGCGCAACAGTGTACCCTTATTTCTGTGCTTCTCAACCAATTCAGACGGTGGATGTTTGGATTAGCCCATTCGACTGTTCACAGGCATCAGGCACCAGGTTGATGATCTTGGATGTTGGATTCACTCCACGGGAGATGATTGTCAATTCCCAGTTAGATGCATTTAAATATGATAGAAATGAAATGTGACTGAGGGATGCCGATCAAGGCAAACGCAATGGTTCTACATTTGAAAACGAATAAGAAATAAATTTAGAGTACCAATGGCATGACACGCCCGACGGTTCGAGTCCTGATAGAGAAACGAAAAGTAGGTACTGCTGACTAGTCCCAAGCAGGACGAAACAGCTGGCAAATATTCTTCGTCGGTCATCACAAACATTTCCATCACATTTAAATTCTACGATTTGTTTAATTCCATATTTTAACTATTGCAATAATAGTTGTTTAATGGGCCAGTTGTGAAGAGGTGAAATCAAGGTTGTTTATCATCCCGTGTCCAAATAGACCACGGCTTTTATTTGTGCGAACGATGGAAACATAGGGTTCTGGTGCAAACATACACAAGAGAGGAAGCGACGAGAGAGAGAGGTCACCCTTGCCAGAAGTAGTGAGTTACTGCTATACCATGCCCGATAAAGACGTGTGATCAAAACGATACCGGCGCCGTCCACCACGGAAAAGAGAAATTCAGATGCGGAACCACAAGAATAGATGCAGTCGCTCCAAATGATAGAGAAAAGACTGTTTTACTCCATAAAAGTGACTATTTCAACTTTATTTGTCCTTATTTTCCTAATTATTTTTTTATAAAATTTGAATTTCCGAATTTTGGTGCCCTGGAAAAGCCTCAGGTCACACCACCGGCCATATTCCATCCTGATTAGTCCATGTATACATTATATATATATATATATATATATATATATCACCGGCCTGTAGACAAGCTTGATGTTAAAGCCTCAACAATAATAACAATAACAATA